GGGAGAATACTCGTGGTCAGGGGAGATGGCCGCCTCTGAGTGGCTTTCATGACACCAGCTTGGGAGTCCAGGTGGCAATGATCTCCTGGGGAACACAGATGCAAGGCCCGGAGGGCTTTGCAGGGAGCAGGTGGTTCACTTGCAGAACTGCTCACAGCCAGGGCAGCGGGGGCCCCCAAAGGCTACCTTGGCCACCATCCTTGGGGTGAGCCGAGGAAACTGGACCCTAGATGATGATCTTCCCAGGGACTTGTGAGGAGCTAGCAGGACCTCTGCGAAGACCAGGTCCATCTGCAGAGAATCGCTGACAGGGACGAGGCTTGTGCAGGAAGCTAGGGGACCTGCGTCACAGCCTCCTGGCCTCCTCACCCCAGGTGGATTCTATGCTGCTTCCCTGTAGATAGGAGCCTGAGGGGCCGATGGGGACCCCTCTCAGCACCAGTGGGGAGACCCTGCCTCCTACCACACAAGTAACAACATATTAGGAACAACAGGCAAATGCACCTACCGAGCATACCGCGTGCCAGTCCTGTTGTACACCCGTGAGCACCCACAGGCACCCACACACTCTTACCCCGTACCGTCAGTCCCCTAGGAGATGAGCCCCTCTTCCCATCTGTCAGCTGATGAAAGCAAGACAGCTCGATCTGCCCAGGGTCACACAAAGCCTGTATGGGGACTTGGAGCCAGGCAGCCTGGCAGGGCCGTCTTCTGATCGCCACTGCACAGTGCCTGGCTGGGCTGGAATCAGTGGAGGTCCAGGTGTGGGTCCATCCTGAGTCACGGCATCACGGCCTGGAGAAAAGCTCTTCTGCTCTTCTCACCCTCATTCCATCAGCCAGGAGCCGGGCACGGAGAGAGAGCAGGATGTCAGTTCTGAAGGTGCCTGAGGTCACTTGGCAAAACCTGGGCACAAACCTGCCTGAGTGCACAACAGCTTACAGATTTCCCGCATGCATCGAGCCACTTCTACTCACTGTTTGCCTAGTGCTATTTTTTTTACATATGCTCACTTCCCTGCCCCTTTTCATTTGCTCTTATCAATTTTCACAAAGTCATGGATGCACTAATTATATTTTTTCTAATACAAATTTAATTAAAATAATCACATAACTATCTCAGTGAAAAGAATTCTTCTGGGCACTGACTCAGATCTCCTCACTTATGTGATCTAAACTTTGGAAGCCATAGGCTACAATGATGGCCTCCTTGTTCATCTGAAGTAAGGCCCAGAGAAGGGTCTCACTCCACCCGAGGTCACCAGTGCTGCTGACCCCAAGGCTGGAGCCCTGACCCTCTATATCCCCCGTGTGGCAGGAATCAGAGGAGCCCCTTTCAGCTTCCTCAGAGCCCACCAGTCTCCAGCCTCTGTTCCTGCTCAGCTCTGTGCCTTGTGAGGGGAGATGGGGGTCCCTCTCTTGGGCCTGAGGGAGCCACAGGAATATTCACTCTTGGGAGGCTCAGAACCAAACTTCAGCAAGGGTGGGATACAGCCGAGGGGCAGGGTGGCCTGGTGTCTAAGGGGCCCCTGACAACCCTGAGCAGAACCTCCCTGCAGAATCTGCAGGACTTTGACTTAATGGACAGGAGGCTACGCATAACCCAATGATGTGAATGAGAGTCACATTTATATGGGATTTGAAATCCTGCTCAGAGGTGCCTGTCCAGTAAGAGGCAGGTAGGAGTTTCACCCAGCTACCAGGCTTAGAGCTCAAGCTCTAATGGCTCTACTTGCCTTCTTAAGTGAAGGGCCGGTCTAGGGTGGCCTCTGCTAGGCCCCATCTGGCGGCCATGTTTGATGAGAACTCACTTCTGGCCAGGTCCTGGGTGGTGGTTCTCCTACAGATGCGGGGCGTAGCACAGAGGGGCTATGGGACCGCCAAAGGCTCAGCTGGGTGGAGAATTCAGGCAGATGCCAGCTTTGGGACTCACAGTGTTCACTTCACCTACTGACTTCCAGAGCTTTTGGACTTGCCAAGGAAAGCAGATGCGTGTACCAGACAGCAAGCTCAGGTTTGGGGTGCTCCTCTTCTACTCCTTCAGTTCCTCTTCCAGCTCAGTGCCTGCTCACCACACCCCCAACCCAGAGCAGGGCTAATGAACTGGGAGCTGGTGGGGAGCCCAAGTTGGCTCCTGCCCAGGGCCTCCTGACAAGGACCAAAGTCTCAGGGCGGCTCAGGACGGTGGCCTGGCTGGGACCGAGGGCCGGGCCCCCACCTGGGTGGATTCACGTGTGGGGCCCAGCTAACGCCACTCATACTTTAGGAATTGGGGGGCCTGGAAGTTTTGAGAAGGGGAAGTGACATGGTCAGTTTAAATACAAGTTCTCCGGTGGTTCCTGACAAGAACTGCAATATAGCAAGTGAGAAATGATAAAGGCTTTAGCTGGGGCAGTGACGGCAGGAAGAGACAGCTCAGAACCACATATTTGAAGATAAAGTTGGTGGGACCTGTAAGTGATTTGATGTGAGAGCTGCATCCAGAACTTTGGGCTCCACATTTCTGGCTTCAACATGGTGGTGAGAGGTGGCATTGTCAGCTGAGGTAAAAATATGAAAGGAGCTGATCTGGTGGGCAGAGTAAGTTTAAAAGTGAGAAGAAGGATCATGGTGTGCAACAGCAGTGAGGGCCAGAAAGCTGAGAAGCAGGGACACCCTCTGGCTGGTGACTGTTGAGCAGTCACCTTCACTAGGAACACAAGGCCAGCCCGCAGAGGGCACAGGGTGAGTTACCACGAATGGACAGTCAGGGTATGGGGACGGAGGACTGCACTGTAGCCAGAGCTGGATGTGGAGCCCAGGGAAGGTTCTTTTTAGCACAGGAGACTTGAGCACATTATAGGTAGAGGAAAGGCGGAAGGAAAGAGAGGTTGAAGAGATGATGGAGGTCCTAAAGCCCACCATGGAATGGGTGGGTTGGCTCTAAGCGGGGGAAACATGCTATCTTCAAGACCATAGCAAAATTGGTCAAGATGAGCATGACGGAAGAAAAACTGGCAGGAAAGGGTAAGGACATTAAAAGATCACATCTATTGGCTTTAATTTTCTTGAAGTACAGTAGTTTGCAAGATTTCCTAGAGTAGCTGGGTGTGGTGGCACATTCCTGTAATCCCAGCACTTGGGAGGCTGAGGCAGGAGGATCGCTGTGTTTGAGACCAGCCTGGGCTACACAGTGAGTTCTAGGTCAGTCTCAACTACATAGTGAGACCCTGTCTCAAAAAAAAAAAGATTTCCTAGAGTAAGGCAAGGGGAAATACAGGAAGGCTGCCTAGTGGCCTCCAGAAAGAATGGTCCTATGGGGCGGCACTAAGAACAGGCAACGTCAGAGTAGAGGAGCTGGGCTGGCTGGCAGGTGTCTGTGGATGGATGCCAGGAAGCAGTTGGTCTGAGTGAGAAAGCAGGCACACCTCTGCCCCTCTCCTTCCCTTCCCTTTGACTGCATGAGGCCTAAGTGCTGGCCTCTAACTCGGGGGACTGATTCCAAGGCTGTGGTCACCAGGGCCACGTGCATCCAGCTAGAGGGTTTGGTGAGAGACAGAGGATTTCTGAACCCGGCACGGAAGCTTTGTTCATTTCCTACCAGATGGGATGCGGAATGCTACTTCTGATCATTTCTATCACTGACCACAGGGGTCCTACTCGCTTCCCAAATCATCACCCAAGCAGCCCCTATGTGAGGGCAGACACGGTGTGGGTGGGGGGCTTGCTCTTCTTCATTAGCCACCGATGGATAGAAAACAAAGTGCTCTCTGGAACCCATGTCTGAAAATCAGGTTTTGCATGTGTAGCTAGTGCATATTTAGACATTTGGTTACTACTTGAATACTCAGGTAAGTTAACATTCACTCCCAATCTTTTATAAATTTTCACATATTCTTACTTATAGTTGGGCTTCTTTGCGGTTAGCAGTTGCTTGTCTCCCCAAACCTGGCTGGAACCCTGCAGGGCCCTGCAGGTGTGGTTTCAGAGGGCAGCTTAGGGTTGGGCAATGTCAGAGTTAAGTTCCGGGGTGAGTTTTTTGGCAAGTTAGGGTAGCCTTCTGCCTCCCTCTGGGGAGCACTGCTTTCCTCTGCCTCTTAGAATAAGCAGCCCATCTCTCATCTTCAAGGCATCCAAAGGGCAACGGCTTGGCTCTTGCAGTTGCTAAGAAAATGTGAGGGCTACGAACAGGGCAGACACGTAATCAGTACCTGTCCCTCTACCCCAGCCTTGGATTTAGGACACACATTTCTCCTGTTGACACCTGCCTCCCCAGAGACCTCAGGCCAGCCAAGCAAGCTCGCTTAGGGTCCCACAATCAGCTTGGTGCCCTCTCACCTGTCCCTCACCTGCGTTCAATGTCAAGTCCAGCCTCTTTTCCTCCTAGAAACCCCATCTGCATGTCAACCCCCTCCTGGCCCCTCGAGTACTTATACCTGGCTCTGAACTTCGGCAATTCTTTGCAAACTCAAACCCTACCTCAAGGATTCTCTTGCCTACCCCTTCAGGAACCCAGCAGGGGCTCAGTACGACAGTTCTCAGCATCTGGACAAACTGCTAGGACAGAATCTTCAGCCTGATCCATCTGGTTCCAGAGATGCCTTGTTCCTACTCATCTTGGATCCCACCGGACACCCTGTGCCCTTCCTGGGGTGGAGCCAGACTGGGGATGGACTCTGGGATGCTGTTTTCTTGTCTGCTGGGCTCCTTGTAATACCTGCTGGGTTCATCAGACAACAATCCCCTGAAGTAGAAGCAAACAAAATCTCAGGACAATTCCCTTGGCTCCTTGCAGTGAGAGAGCCTTGTACCTAGTGCCCCGGCCTGCTGGTCTCCACCCTAGGTGACAGGGGCTCCTCCTGCACCCCACCATGGCTCAGCCACAGCTACCCGGGTGCTACAAGGCTCTGCTTGTCTGCCAGGACACCCTGAGGACAGTGTTCTCTGTCCCCTCACTGGACACACTTACCAGGTCACTTGTGAAGCATTCTCTTAATTCCTAAAAAAAATCTTAAAATCCAGAAAGTGAGGAAAAAAAAGGGACAATTTAATGATGGCTTCTCTGATTACAGACAACAGAAGGACATTTATCTCCATGCACGGGTACAGTGACACTCAGGGACACTGGCGCTCCAGGGACAGGAGCCGAGGTGCTCCAGTCCACTGCTCAGCCTGTGTCACATGGGCCACCCAACTTCCTGGCTCAGCAACTGCAGACTCTGGGAGAGGAGAGGACCCGGCCAGCTCCCCAAGGTGGAATGACAGGACAGGCAGCGCAGCAATGCCCTGGCACCGCCATGCAGGAGCCCAGGGAGAAGAACCAAGCTCCCAGGCACCCTGAGAACCACCATGGGCTCAGCAGCACCAGTTCTCCTAAGGGCACCGTTCTGGAGGGCTGAGGTATTGGGACCAGGAGGAGGATCAGAACCACACAGAAGCCCGTGCTGAATGCCAGGTCATGCCCGCCCCATACTGAGATTCTGATGACCCAGCTCCATCTCCCAAAAGGTAATAAAATCCCCATGAGGCGGAGCCGAAAGGGATGGCAAAGGTAGGGCAAGGAGAGACCAATTCCATCCAAACTGAGGCCACCGCTGATGGCTCCAGTCCTCTCTGGCCTGCCCTCCCCTCTCCTCTACCCCACAGCCCTAAGGAGACAAGGGAGATGAGACCCCGTCATACTCCCTAATTAAAACAGCCAAGTACAACGTTTCTACAGAGAGGGAGAAGGGACGATGCCCCGGGCTTTTCAAGGGAAGACAGGCATGGAGTGTGGAGGAGATGCGGCCCCGGGGTCGGTCCCGCCCTGGAGGTGGCAGCCATGGCCCGGTCTGCTCGCGCCTGCCCGTCTAGCTGAGCATCTTGTGCCGGTCGAACACTGTCTTGCGCTGCTCCTGCACCTGCAGCTTCCACCGCTGCTGAGCGCCTTCCACTCGCTCCAGGACGGTGTTGGCTCGGGGTCCCCCAAGAGATGCGGCAGCGGCTGCCATGGAGCGTGCATCCTGGGGTGGAAACAAAGGAGAGGCCTGGCTCAGGGAGCCCAGGGAGTCTGGCACAGAAGCAGGGACCCTGCCTTCCCACCTGGGAAAGCCAACAGCGGCACGGCCGGATCTGCAGAATGGGGCCTCGCTCCTCCTCCGGGCAGGGGGAGTCCGTTCTCCGACTCCAGTTACCCCGACACAGCTGGCCAAGTCAGGTTCCCGGTCTGAAGCCCACAGGCCTATCGCTGCCTTTCACGAGGGATGCTCAGCGCTGACCTGAGGCCTCCCTCAGGGGCAGCGCCATTCTCAGATCCGCTCTGATCAGGGAGGGGACACCACACACCAAGCTTCCTTTCCCTGCCACAGGGGATGGGACGTCGCCCCCAAGGGTGCTGGCACAAATGGGAATTTGGGGCGTGACCCCAGCACTCCCACTGCGGAGCCTGTGGCGCCCTGCTCCCTCCTGATAGCTAGGACAGCATGCTCCTTCCCCGCCTGCCTCGCCACACTCCACTTCCCCTTTGCTCTCAGACCTGTTCCTGCTGTCAGTCTTCCCTAATTACCACTTCTCTGCTTCTCAAGCTCCGGAGCCCATGCATTTCCTGCAGGACCCGAACCTGATCTTTGGGGGGAATTTAGAGCCGAGGGCCAGGCCCAGAACCCCATGGGGATTTCCTCCCTGCCTCTCATCTCCTGCCATACATCTCTTAAGGGATTAGTGAACCCCACTAAGCCCAGAGCCGCCCAGTAAATGCAACTTTGCTTCTAATGCCCGGAGCTGGCACGGCTTCTGTCACCAAACAGCTGCCAGGCTGGGGAGGAGGGAGGGTAGCGAGGAGAGGGCAGGAAGCAGAAATGGGCTAGTAATGCGGAGAGGTGGCTGGCTAGAGAAGGGGCCGGGAGGGTCTTCATCACACTTGTCACACAGCTGAGTCATCTGTCATGAACATTCATCTCTAAGGTGGGCACTGCCCTCGAGAGCCCGAGGACCAGCACCCTGAGGAAGGCTTTCCCGGCCAGGACAGGTGAGGCCCCGTGGTGCTGACAGTGTCAGGCAGGGGGCGAACTAGCTTGGAGTTAGGACCCCTGGGCTCTATGACTAGGTCAGAGGCTACCTGCCCCTCTGGCCTCAGGCTCCCCTATGTCCATCTCAGGTGGACCTACAGGTCCACACAGGCCGCTGGAAGGGTGAGGCAAGGCCTCGGTCAGCTGGCAACTGTGTCCCCGGACAAGTCACTATTTCTCCAAGGTTCAGTTTCTCTAGTCTTTCAGACACTTTCTTCCACCATAACATTAGTGAGAATTATATTCACCTGAGGATCTAGAACACACACACGCACAGAGAGTGAAAAAGAAGCTTCATGAAACAGCACTGAGTACGATGCCCTGTTCTGTTGCATTTCAGGGACTTTTGTTTATTTTTGCAGTACTGGAGACTAAACCCTAAGCCTTCACACTGAGCTACATCCCCATTCGTTCCTTCATTACGGACCTGGTCTCGCCCATGGCTGGGCTGGATCTGGCAATCCTCACGTCTGCTTAATTCATTTCTTAAAAATCCTGGTCAGGAGTCCCAACATCCACATTATGACCCAGTGGGTTGTGATCCATAGTGTGCAAAACACTAGTTTATGATTCGTGGGGCATGGCTAAGGTAAGTTACACATCAAGCATTTAGTAAACTGGCAGTCACAGGGCAGGAGCTCAAGAAATATTTAGTTTCTGTCTACCTGGCAGTTTTGCCCAGTGGTTAGGAAGACGCTGAAATCAAACCTGACTCTGTTGGCTCTGACTCATACCAGTTAGATGATGAGCAAGTTAGTTTCTTTTCTGAACTGATTTCTCTACTTTGAGAGGAGGCAGCTTCTTGGTGAGACACTGAATGCACAGCCTTTGGCAGTGCCTGGCAGGCAGGAAGCACTCAACTGACAGTGGCGACGGTCAGCAGCAGATCCTGGTTCTGGATCTACTTAGGTAGGGGAAAGGGGGGCTGCCTCTGGACGATGACTGTGACTGAACCTCCCATCTCAGCCACACCACCTGAGCCATCGGTGCTCGGACCTAGCTCTGCCTAGTTTGTCCTCTGCCTGGCTCTAAGGATGAGATTCGCACGGAAAACCCGCCTGCCTGGGAAGCTGCTGGCCCCGCAGGACTTAGCCATACCGGCTGTGGGCGCCAGAAGGGCTTCTCGCCCTCCTCTTTCCCAATCTTGTGCCTCCTGGGACCAGCGTGTCCTTGCAGGGCTCAGGGAGAGGGATGCCCGGCTGTGACCTGAGCGGCAGGGGTACGGTTCTGGGGGGCAGACCTGGAAGGATGAGCAAGTGTCAGCCCTGCTTCCTTCCACTGCTCTGCTCTGGGGAAGGCAGGGGAGCCAAGAGCAGGGCATTAAGGGAATGTGCCGAAATTCACCGCATTACCACAGCGTCATTTGTTAGCCCTTCATGTAAAGTCCTAGCAAACAGATCCTAAGTGGGGGAAAGCCGCTGCAGAGAGGCGCCGCGTTCCCATCGCTAATAGTCTGATTAAAGGTATTAGAGACTCTGCATCTGTCCCACCAAGGGCCGCGCGTGGGCCTCGTCCCCGCCTGATGTGCAGCAGCAGCGACAGACGCCAGGGAGAAGCTACTGACTTCTGATCCTGTTCCCTCTGTGGCCGGGTCTCAGGGTAGTCAGGGATGCAGAGGGCAGTTGAGAGGGTTGGGCCCTCAGTGTGGACATGGAGGGGCCTCAGAAGTCTCCAGGCCACCAGGCTATGTGACCCTGACAAGTGACACCCTGTCCAGGCCTGGGTTACTCCTTGGCTCACAGCACAGGCAAATGGGTGCTATCATCCCATCTGCGGATGGGGAAACTGAGGCTCTAAAAGAGAAGTCATCTTGCTACCCAAGGCTGAGTCTGGACTTGAGTCTCAAGAGCTTCGCTCGAGGGCGCTTCAGGCCCACAGAGACCCCTGTACTGTGTGGGTCACTCCTGGGCTCACATCGTCCTGGGAAACCCTCTGCAGTGCCCCAGGAATGCTGCCTATCAGTGGCGCCAGGCTGGGCTCACCTCTCTGACCAGTAGACCAACCTCCCCTCCTTGCTGGCCACCCTCCTCACTCCCTGGTCCTAAACGGAAGCAGGACCTGGCCCCTAACCAACCCAGACAAGCAAAGAAGAGGGGCCCCAGCGCCAAGCCCTTTGGAAAGGCAACTACACAATCTCTCTGGGCTTTCTGTTTTACCCCAGTCCTTCCCGCGGCAGCAAACCTGCCTGCATCTCTGTTTCCAATCCCCTTCCTCTGACACATCCAATAGTCCATTCCCCTGCTCAAACACCGGAGCCAGCAGCCCAGCCACGCAAAGGGGGATCACTGCTGAGCAGGCACTCCCGGCTCTCTGAGCCAGACCAACCGCCTCCTGCCTGGCCGGCCACGACCCTGTGTCCTTTCTGTACCTGCAGTTGCCCCCTCCCCCGAGCCTGCACACCCCGCCCCTCAGCCTTTCTCCAACAATCGCCATGCTGCTTACAGGTGGAGACCTGAATGAAACACCTCATACTTGAGGTGGGTCACACATTGATCAAGCCTCCATGTGCATTAACACAGCAGTGATGCTGAGGTGGGAACTACTCCACCCACTCCAGACTGAGATACCTCAACTTCAAGACTAACACCCAGGACAGTGAGTGCCAGAGCTGGACTGTGTACTGGGACCTCACAGCCCTGCTCCCAACTACTCTAACAGACGTTCTGGAGATGTCTTTGAGCAGCACACCTTCCTGTTCTATCCGCAGGCAAGGAGGCTCTGAATCGCCCTCAATGGCATGTGCCTCTCCATGATTCACCGTCAGCCCCCAGCGCCCAGGTCCTCAGCACACAGCTGCCTACCTAGCCTCTGACAGGGTCCTCCGTGGGCCCCAGCATCTCTTCTTCCAGGCCCACATGGCCCCATTTTTTGTCACCATCACCATCTCCGATTCTTCTATACACCCCTCTCCCACTGGGCTCAGAACTCCACCCACTGCCCAGGAGAGCGAGAACTTGGAAGACCCTGTTAAAGCTCAGGGTGAGCAGCAGAGCCAGCCAGAGCCACACAGAAACCCTCACTTCTGTTTCTTCAAAGAGGGCCAGACCTATACATCTAAACAGCTCTGTTGCCGTTTCTGTCCCAGCAAACATGCTGGCTTCCTCCTTTCAAAGGGCGTCTGAGCCCAGGGATTAGTCCTAATGCTGCCAGAATCCCAGGGGAGGCAGCGCCCAGCAATCAGGCCCACTGAGGCTCTGCCAGAGCTTTCAAAGGGAGCATGACAGGCTTTCATCTCCCTCCACAGACTCGAGCTGGGCTGAGCCGAGCTGCGGGGGAGGCCGCCCCCTTCTCAGCCAGTGCTCCAGCCCCATGGCAGGAGCGTTCCTGGCTACTGGAGTTGGGGAGATGGCACCAAGGATGGCACCCCTAGATGTGACGAGTGCTCCGCCCTCCAGATCCCACCTCTGCCTGAATTCTGGGCTCTCAGGGAGGGGCTGGAAGGCCTGGAGTCCAGAGTTTTCCTTCTGCAGTGGCCAGTCACCCGGCTGTACAGCCCAGGGAGCGCCCACGGAACTGTGTGCTGAGGGTGCCGTGTTCCCACTCTCTTCCTGTTGGGGTGAAAGCTAAGTCCATCCAGCCTGGGGACACCCAGTCTTTCTTGCCTCCTTCTTAGGAAAAAACACAAGGCCTTGCCTTTGCCACTTCTCAGCCGGGGGAACTTGGGACCTGTCTTGCTGCTCTCCAATCCCACATGTCCCTTTCCTGTGTGCACAGAGGGGACAGTGGACTGTCCTCACTGTCCAGGGCCAGGCGCAATGGTCTCTGTTAAGAGGAGACCCCTGGCTCTCTCCAGCCTTCCCACTGCAATCAGCATTCCCTCTCCCCTCTCCCCTCTGAGCCAGCCCTGAAGTCTCCCTCTGCCAGGAAGCCTTCCTTTCCTGACCAGCACAAAGGGAAGGGCAACCTCCCCCTCTGCACTCCAAAGTAGCCAGCATCTCACCTGACCATCCAGGTGACAAAGCCAGATCTTACCAATAACCTTTATGCTCCTGCCCATTCACCCCACTTTGGCTGTCTCACAGCAGGCAGGCACAGGTGGACGCAAGTCTGAGCACAGCGCCACCTATGGGATGCCTGAATATAGCAAGAGAGAAGCGCAGCTGCTGGACCACAGGCATCTGCAGTTGGGTCAGGCACAGCAGCATCGCCCGGGCAAGGAAACGCAGAGGTGATGCCAAACAATGGGACTGGAGCACATTTCCTAATCCAGCCTCAGGGCACCCTAAGGGCACAACTCTTGTGAGCCTCAGGGTGGGAGGGTGGCATCCCATTCATCCAGGGAGGACTCCCTGCCACAGATGGGGCACAGGCTCGCCAGGCACCCTTCTTGTGGTTAAGGACAAGGGCTGCACCCCAAACCAAACCCAACTAGGAAGTTTCCACCCTGATTTAGGTTCTGTCTCTAGAATGAGACTGACCAAACCTGAGCCCTCCTTCCTCCAGGGCTCCCACAGACAGACCTCAAGCGGGGCACACCCAGGTCTCTTGCAGGAAAGAGAGCAGGTCCAGACCCAGAGACAGCAACTGCCCTTCCTCTGGCTCCGTATCTAGGATGGCAGGAGACACAAGAAGGCTGTGCCCGAGAGCCATGCATTCCAGGGAAATCACAGTACAGGCCATGTAATCATCGGCTGCCTCTCTCAATTACTCCTCGGCCAGGGCTGCAATTAGCACATTACCCCTAATCGCTGAGTGTTTATTAGCAATGTTCCTCCCTTATCAGAGGTGCTATTACTCTACATTAATAACCAGGTAGGCACGCAAGCTTTCCTCCTGAACACAGACCACCCAAATGCCAGCGCCACCACCTTAAAGGCCCCAGTTCCTTTGGCCAAACTCATGCCAGCAGGAGGCTGGGGACAGATTGGGAACATTTCCGGCACACATGCAAAAGTAGCAGGGCCAGAGGGAGCAGCCAGACCCCCCTCTCATCCTCCTGACTTTCCTTGTCCTCCCTGCCCATGCTAGTCCTGATCCAAACCACCTGAGCAGCTTCACGCTGCACCTCCAGTTCTCCTTCTGGTGGGGAACCTGCCCTTCCCTGCCTTCAATCCAGGACTTGAAAACCAAAAGGCTTTAGGCAAAAGGCAAAAGGCTGAACCAAAGGCGGTTCAGCCTGAACCTGGTTACCTCTGGTGACCCACAACTCACAAACGTACAAGGGAGCCCACACATTCCATCATGACACCACAATGCATGCATGACTCCACCTTAAACTGTCTTGTTGAACCTCCCTGTAACTCCTAGCTGTGGGTCTTTCCATCCCTGGGGGACAGGGAGGGATAGGCTCTGCTCTACAGATACCTGGAGGCAACTGGTTGTGCTTTTCTGAATTTGCTTTGTTTTGTTTAAACTAAACAGCTCCAAGTTTCTTCAACTAAATCTTCCAGAACATGGCTGAGGGATGTCCTCACTAGGTGCTCCTTTGATACTGGATGTGCATGAGTTGAAATCTAACACACTCACTTTGCCAACAGCCAAGAGAATCTTCCAGCGGCGAGGCCTTAGGGACAGAGCTCGGCCACACAGTCCAACCGTCAGGTAGATTTCCAGGCTGCCTGGCACGGGACTCCTCATCTTCCTTATCACTTAAAGTCAAAAGCTCCCAGACTGATTTTTGAGGCCTTTATTAATCTGGCCTAAACTTTCTGACCAGCTCTATCTGCTGAGATTCCTGGATGCCCATTCTAACCTTGAGGCTCAAATTCCTCACTCCTCTGGCTTTTATGGTCCTACCTCGGCCTCCAGCCCTTGGGCTGTGCTTTGCACAAAGCAAGGACTCCACAGACCAGCAAGAGCGAACCCTGTAGAACTTTCAACGATACCAGTCCCCTGTGGCACACATGCCACAGACCTGCCACCACTACCACAGATATTTGTGCAAGCACTGAAGCACAGAACAAACCTGAGGCCTCCAAGTCTACCACTGAATCATCACCAGGGACTGAGCAAGCAGGTTATCACGTGTCTCCACCCACGGCTGGCCCTGGTTAGCGCACTTCTGCTTAGCAATGCAGTGTCGCAGGGAGACACAGCTCTCCCACCTGGGCACTGAGGCCATGCACAGTGTCAGGAATTTTAGGGCCGCCCGAAGCTTCATCTGGATGCACAGGAGGACAGTGTCCTGCTGAGTCTGGGTGACAGGAAGGAAACTGGAGCATGAGGCAGGACGGGGTGGGGGCAACACCAGTCCCTCTGAGGCCCAAGGGATGCTCTTCTGGGTTCTACCCAGGGATTTGCATGCGGGAACCAGGGCCCTGTTACCTCATTCTCTTCCTCATTATGCAGCTGTTCAGTATAAGCATCTGGCTTGCGAATCAGAGGGTCCACCAGCATCAGGAAGGCCATGTAGAGCAGGAGGGCCCCCACCACGGATAAGTAGATAACGATGATGACCTGGGGGAGACACAGCTTGCCCTGTGAACCAACATCCATGGCCAGGACCAGAAATCCGTCCCTGGTCTTGATCCATCTGGGCTCTGTGGATGGGCTGCACCAGGAAGGCCTAGGAGGTGGCATGGTGCACGGGGCAGGAGCACTAGGAAGCGACAGGGATGGCCCTCACCAGCTGACCAGCCGTGCCCTACTCAAGGGAGTCTCATGGTGAGTGCTCTGACAGATGGATGACAGATGAGAAACACTGGAGCCTACTCCTGAGACATAACCGAGAGACTCCCTCAGTGGGGCAGGGGAAGCAGACCCCACCTAACTGTAATCAAAAATGAGGCTGGAGTAACAACGACCAGCAGGTGGCAGGCAGAGGACAGTAAAAGTGAGCCCGGGCATGCGGGCTCAGGCCCACCGTGCAGGGAGGGCCGAGGCCAAGCTACTTCCCTGAGGGGAGGGAAAGGGAGGGCCGTGTTAGGATGACAACCTCCTATATACAGAATCTCCCAAACTGGAGAATTCATCTTACAGACAGGCAGGACTATGGGAATTTTAATTCCCTAAATGGGACCCTAAATGCCATTCACCTCCCCCTCCCACGTGGTCCTTATAATGGTACCCGTAACACCTCTCGGTTACTGGGGTCACAAAAGCATCTTCACTCATCTCAAAATGCCCCTGTGAGGGGGCTGCAATCCGTTTAACGAGAACCACAAGGCTACATCATTCACCCGCAAGCCCAAGGCTGGCTGAGACGTCTCTCGAACCAGCGTTGCTGGCTTCATCTCAAATGCTTTTCTTTTTTTTTACGGCCACCACTGGCCTCTGACGTGACTGTAAGGTGGGATAAAAATAAAAGGAGAATCTCAGGTCTTTCAAGTTTGTTGCCCGGCTTAGTCATCAGCCAAGTTCAACAGGCCCAACCTCCTCCTGGACTAAGACACCAGTGCTCGCGCCTCTCTAACCAGGGAGGATAATCACTCCTCTTGACAAGGAGAACGGAGGCTGGGGCTGTCCAAGTTGAGGGGGAGTGAGTTCCTAGACTCGAGGACCCCAGGCCATCAAGTCACTGCCCCGCCAAAAGAGGAGAGGTGACAGCTGGCTCTGAAGTGAAGGTCTCAGGCATCTGGTCTCCAGAGGGCGCCTGCTGGAGCAGCTCAGAGCTGGTGAGAGACACTCCAGAAGGGGCTGGCCCAGGAGCAGGAGGACAAGCAGAGGGGCCTCCACAGCCTACAGGGAAATGCTGGGGGCCGCAGAGAGCTGCTTCCTATTTATAGGGTGAGAACAAGGACTTCATTGCTCCTCCGGGAATAGTCATGGATGCCTAGGGCAGGCAGGGAGGGGTGCCATGAAGCCCATCTCCCCGGGCCCAATGTCTCACAAGCAGGAACCTGAGGGAGGATTACAGCAACCTCTCGAAACTCATGAGGGTCATTTTCTGATGCTGTTTCTATCTTGTCAGAGAGCAAGCAAAAATAGGAAGGGTCAGGAACCTTGTTATGGTTTAGATCTAAAATGGCTCCCAAAGCCTCACGCTTCTGTACAGTTACTGGACTTGGGGGCTTACAGCTAGCCTGCTGTCAGGAAGTGGCATCTGGCTGGAAAAGGTAGGTCACTGGGGATGTGGCCTGGAAAGCTTTGCCTCCCTCCCTGGCTCCCTTCTTCACCCGCAGCTTCCTGCGGCCATGATGTAAGCAGCTTCTCCTCTGCCAGGCCATTTCTTCTTGGGACCCAGATGACCACAGACTGACACATGAACCAAAATTAACCTCTCTCCTTGGAGCTGTGGGTGTCAGGTATTGTGTTTCAGACGTGAAAGTGACTACGACAGATTTTCTGGCATCTTGCTTCCCCATGGTGGTGACTGGGCTGTCACCTCTCTCCTGAATTTACCCAAATTGTTGCTGAGAACGAGGCTCAGGAGAAAGCAAAGCAGCCTCAGTGCCAGTATCCAATGCCCAGTGCTGGTCCACAGCTCCTCGGCATTGTCACAGAAGTCTGATATTCCCTTGAAGTCTGATTAGACCGTAAGCTAGGGGAGGGCGGGCTTCCCTCGCTACCCCAGCATGGTGCGAACATGGTAGGCACCCAAAAGACAAGTGCAGAATGCACAGAAACAGAGGAAGAGAAGAAACTGGAAAGGGAGCAGAGAAACAGTCTCAACCACTTTCCCATGCTCCCACCTGCCACTGGACGGGCGCCATAGTAAGACAGCAGAGGAGACAGCTCCAGAGTGTGGCTGGGGACCTTGTGTTTGCACAAAGCCAGCCCCGAGGCCATCCCACAGAATAAGGCGGACCGTGGGAGTGGGACATCCTGGTGGCGGGTGGCGTGTCCACCCAGGGTCGGGTGGAGGTACCTTGATGGTGGTGGTGCTGCGTTCCTCATACTTGCACTCACACAGCAGGCAGTAGGCCTCCACATCATGGCCAGGCACCGGCATGGGCTCCACCACGTGCAGGCAGTTGCTGCAAAAGACAGACAGGCTGGGTGGGGGCATGCAGGGTGTCCTCACCGCTTGAGGCCCAGGAAGAGGGCGACCAGGGGCGACCAGAGGGCTGAGGGAGGGTACCTCTACCCTTCTATAGGGCAAGGTTGGCAGAAGCCCTTCCCCAGCCTCGGCCTGGCAGTTCCTGGCCTGGGTCCTTCAGAAGGCTCTCTGAACTGGGCATGCAGGGTCCACACCACCGAGTCAGTGGCCCCCACAGCCCTGCCCTCAGCTGCCTTCTCCTCTCGTGCTAGCTCTCCCTGGTGGCCTCATCCATCCAAGGTTTCTGTGAAGCCGATGTGTCTTAGGTTATACACCCTCTTGCCAGGGCTCCTCTTCTCCTGAGCTGGATTCTTGGTCCAGCGACTGCAGGATTCAGCACACCTGCACAGTGCACGCTGCTTACGAGTCCCGCATCCTGTACCTTGGCCCCACGGTCCGTGTGTCTCATGGCAGAGGACAACTCTAGCACTCACTCTGCTGACCAAGGCAAACCCTGCAAAGCATCTTTGACACTGCTTTTCCTTCATCAGTGAGTCCACCAAATGCCTTAAAAATGTCTAAAGTCTCTCTTAACCAGGTGGTGCACGTGTGTGATCCTAGCACCCAGCAAGGCCGAGGCAAGAGGACTGAAAGTCTGAGCCCTGCCTGGGCAATTTAGTGACTTAGAGAGGCCCTATCTCAGAAATAAAAAATTAAGGCGGGGGGCGGGAAGTGGCTGAGGATGCAGCTCAGCGTGTGAAGGCCTTGAGTTCAAGCCCCAGAACCTAAAAGTAAAATCCAATCCAATCTATCTTTTCCATTCTCTCCCTCTGCTATCCCACCCCCAGTTCAGCCCTGCCCAGGGACTGCACCAACACAGAACTCCTATCATATCACTTTCCAGTCTGAAATCAGCGCCCCCGTGACAAGCTGGCTAAACGGCTCTGCTGGGTCTCGATCTCCTCACTCCAGCGCTGCCACCTCTGCCACCACTGTCCCACTCCACACCCTCCAGCCAGGCTGTCCTGCCGGCCTGTTCTCTGCAGCGGCCCCTCCTACACCCCTGCCAGAACGGCTCAGTTTTGCCACCTGCCCTCTCCACTCTGAGGATTCAGCTCAAGTTCTGACCTTGGGCCCTGTAGCCCGTGTCTAAGAGGGTGCTGGCCAGAACTGGCCTTCGTGCAGCCAAAGACACACATGTTCTAAGAGTAAGACCCATAGCCACTGTCACCTAGCAGTGCTCCTGAGCAAGGTGGGCTAAAGACAGGAGGCCCTGCTTTTAAAAACAGGCATGCAGGATGTCAAAAACCTATCATTCCAACATTTGGGAGGGTGAGGCAGGAAGATCGCAAGTTCATGGTCAGCCTGGGCAACTCATCCAGACATTGTCTCAAAATAAATTTTAAAAAGGGCTGGGAATGTAGCTCAGTGATAATAAAGTGCTTATCTAGCACATGAAAGGCCCTGAGTTCTGTCCCCAGGATTAGGAAAACAAAAACAAAACAAAATAAACATCAAAAAGGTAATGAGTTCAGGAGAGCAAAGTGGCAGCTCCACCACGGTGGTGAAGCCAAAGACCTCAGTCCAGATCCTCGCCTCAGCGCCTGCCAGCCGCCTCGGCCCGGGCCTGTGCTCATTCGCAGCCTACCTCAGATCAGCGTGGTTCCAGCCTGTTGGTTGAGAGCACAATGAGAAAGCAAAAGACCCTAGAGAAAAATCACCACCACTGGTGACTGGGAAAAAATCTAAAGCCTCAGAGGTTTGCAGAGGTGATCAGGGTGTCGTGCTGCAGTGGACAGCCGGGTCCGGGCTGTCTTGACTTTGCCACCAAATGTCCATGCCCTGGGCCTGTCCTCTCAGTGAGACGCCATGACTGTACCAGAGGTCCTGACAGAGCCACCCACAGTGGGTCTCCCCACTGTGCCCAAAGGCTCCACTTTCAGGTCCTGTACAGGTTCCTCTGGGAGGGGCTGATGGACAGGGCCAGTTTGAATTGGTTATTATTCCAGTCCAGCGGGACCGTCACCTTCTTGTCTCTAAGAAGTCTCTACAAGGTTCTGGGGAACAGATTTCTCTTGTTCCTAAGCCACATGAGGTCCTAAGTTTGGAAGACTGCTCTGGAGCTACTGCAGGATCTGCAATCTCCCGCTCCCAAGGCCAGGGCAGTGGGAAAGGCCAACCGAGTTCTTCCATTTGGGACCCTGTTACCCAGGGAAACAGGCTGTAATGGGGTAACGGGGACAGCAATAACAAGCTTCAGTATTCCTGCACTCTGGGTCTCCTAGGAATTGGTGAGGCCCTAAATCTTTTCTTGCTGCCCTGTTGAGGATCAGATGTAAAAGACTCCATGGACTCGTCAGCAGACATGAAGGGGAGCAGGTTAAAGAGAAAGATAAGTGGGGTTTAATTCTCTGCTCTTCTACTTCTGTGATAGCAGGTAATTGATCTAACTTCTCTGGGCCTCGATTTCCTCATCTAGAATGGAGGCTGACTCAATCTAGGTCTTGAAAACTGCTCTTTCGGGTGGCATGGGGAACACAGCGCAGGTGGGTGACAGTGAGGAGGGGCAGAGGGACCACTCAGCCAGGGGGATTCTGGTTTCTGGGTTTATGCATTTTGTTTGCATAACAGACTGTAGACGATTGCTATATTAGCAAATTTGAAAGGCAATAAACTAATTAACATGTTAAGGACTGTGTCTAACACATGTCCTTAACATGTGTTAAGAGGCTGGGACTGTCTAACACATCCTGCAGACACGGATGGGCCTGGACTGTCTGGGTTTCTGCCTTTCATACTCATATGATTACAAACTCTCCACACTAGATGGCAGAATAGCCACAAGACAGGAGCACACTGGCTTGGCCATTAGACCTAGGGAGCTCTGCACCATCAAAGGGAAGGGGACAAGTGTTCTTCCAGCTGGGGCCCATGTGACACTGGAATGAAACCCTGTCAGAGACCTGCAGACCCAATCAAAGTGATCTCCACTTCTTCCCCTGGCACTGAAGTGCTAGGATCAATGTCAAGGTCCTACCTGACCCTGAGAGAGGCTCCAGACAAGAGTGAGCTCCAGATACTGTCAATGTGGCTAGGCCCCAAAATCCTGGAGTCTTCCCTCCCAGCCTCGGTTTCCATGCTGTTCCTTAATGGAACTCTCCTAAGGGTGTAAGACTATTCATCAGGCAGCTCCCTCATTCTGACTTCTAAGGGGGAAAAAGAAAAAAAACTATAGCTGGGGAGATCTAGATAGGACTCTGCCCTGTGGACATTCAAGCTTGAGTTTTCAGACTGTACTAGAACCCCAGGACAATGATGCCAGTGCCACCTTGTACAGGGGCAAGGGATATATCCAGCAAGGGCTAAAAGAGTCCATGAATGTCTTTAGTATTTGAGATGTATATATAAAGACAGACAGACAGACAGATGGACGGATGGATGGGAGTCACTGGGGCCCTTTTTAGGCCTTTCTGTCTTAGGACTTCATGAATCCACCAGGACAATAAAAGAAGAGAAAACAAGTTACAGCCCAAGTTCTCCCAGGCTATAGTGTAAATTGGATAACGTGGCCACTAGGAAGGCCTGATGATGCATCAATAATAATAACAACAGTTAACACTTTCACAGCACTTACTATGTGCCAGGTATCGTTCTACTACTGGCTACACACACACTTGATGTTTAAAACGTTGTCACCGTTTTACAAATAAGGAAATGAAAAAGCAGTGGAGACTCAGTTATTTGTCACACAAGTAACAAGGGGTAAAGCTAAACTGGAAGCCAAGCAAGCTGCATCCAAAGTCTGTCACAGATAGATGGTCTATTAGTCAGAAATCCAGCCAGGTGTGCTGGTGCACGCCTGTAATCCCAGCACTGGGGAGGCTGAGGCAGGAGGATCACTGTGAGTTCGAGACCAGCCTGGGCTACACAGTGAGTTCCAGGTCAGTCTCAACTACATAGTGAGACCCTGTCTCAAACAAACAAACAAACAGAAAGAAAGAAATCCAACTAGTTTCAAAACTCTCAAATGTTACTCTGAATCAACTGTATCATGAGCTCCTAAGGAAGTACGTTAAGAAAAAGGTCATTCCCTCTCTCCACCTATACTTGCTGAACCAAAGTCTTGGGTAGGGAGGAAGGTGCTGGGAGTCTGACCAAGCCCCATCCCATGTTATCCCTTCTCCAGTGACCTCACCCCATCTGTGCTCTGGTTGCTCCAAGGATGGGGCTTCCCAGTCCTGAAACTACCGGAAACAGAAATGTCCCCCTAACTCGTGGTTATGATCTCATCCATCAGCCCCAATTCTATACCAAGAAACCACACTGAACTCATATGATCTCCACAAGTGCCCAATCCTACTTGTCCCACATCCTCTAACATACCAGCCCTTCCCCTGGTCTTGGGGTACGCCAGGGGTTCCCAGGCCCTCTCCTCTTCCGCTTATCCCTAGTTCCTTAAACCATCCCTTCCATCCAAGTTGGCTTCCATCTTCTGATTAATTCTTGGTTATATTCTCATTCTCTGTCTGTCTCGCTCTCTCTCTCCCCTTCTCCCAGTATTTAGGATTGAACTGAGGGCCTTCATATGGAACTACATCCTTATTCCTGTTTTGTTTTGGTTTTTTATCTTAGGATCTTGCTAAGTTGCTAAAGTGCTCAAGCTTGGCTTAAACTTGATTCTCTTGCCCCAACCTCCCAGAATGCTGGGATCACAGACACGTACCACCTTGCCTAGGTTTTCTTTTTTAAAAGGAGGGTAAGAGAAATGCTTTCAATTCTCCAGGGGTATAATTTAAATTCTTTTTTAGGGTCTCAGTCTATGAAATTATAAAATGGGAATGACCAATCCCATTTCCAATCGATCTTATAAGGTTGATATAAAACTAGCACAGAATAACACACAAGACTAGCAGAGCTTTGCAAAAGCACTGGATATTGCATACTATACGGTAAGTCCGTGACTTATGACTTATAAACATTCAAGTTGTTAACTTTTACAGATACAAATGGACCCCGGATTACAAACATTCACAGATGCAAACATTATAAACATTTATAGATGCAAACAAATTGTGGAAATAGCTCACATGTCTACCTTACCATTTCAAGGTAACTGTAAAAGTAGTTTATTTACAGTTGTACTATACTGTACCACCATCTTCAGGTAACAAAAGTAGTAATAGTTTATTCATGGTATGTTTGTGTGGAGGTTGGCTGTTTAATGCTTTACATTGCACTATATTTGTATATCAAAGGTGTATGAGACTTGCTTTGTCAGACTTACAAACGAATTTGACTTCTGAGAGTTCTCTGGGTCAGAACTCATTCATAAGACGGGAACTTTCTCATGGTCATAATACCTACCTCTTCCAACTAGGAATTCCTTTTAGGGAACAGAAGCAATCCTTGACTAACCATATCGCCTGTATCGATTAAAAACCCAAATTCAAAGCAAAACAAAAAACAGTTCTCTAACCAGGAACACCTCAGGTGAAATTCACGACTTCTAGGTCCCACTTCTGACTGATTATGAACAAAAGTGTTTCTTTGCAAGAAACTCCAAAGAAATGGAAGAACAAGCTTAACCTCAAGGGGATCCAAGAATACTAAAACACCCACCACTTCAAATGGGTGTCGCAGCCAAGAACCAGCCCATGCGCAATGCCTTACCAGTCCTTCTGGGACACATTCTGGTTGTAAATGTGCCCACTGATGTTTCTGTAAGGTGGACAGATGCATTTGCACCGGATATCTTCGGAACTCTGGAAGAGAAATCACCAGTCAGGGAGGAAGGTTCCCTGTTCATTCAGATCCTAGCAAGGCTAGAATTTTAGAAGTCTAGCAAGGGTAGAAGTTTTAGTTCTCTGCATGATCAAGTTCAGCAAGGTCTGCTTCTGTAAGGAGGACATTAAATCACAGGGTCCTCAAGAAAGAAACTGTACAGGTGGCAAATGAGACCCACAGAGAGCTACTCAGGGGTGCTATTCCCTAAGAGGGGTGTTTGGGGAGGATGTGTGGCAGGCAAGTGACAGTCCTGCACCCTTAGGCCCCTCACTTGTGTGTGTACTTCTGTCCTCTTCCCCTAGTCCTACCTCTAACCTCCTAGGTTAGGATTGGAGGAAAGAAAAAGGAAAGGGTGAATAAGAAAGTGTACAGTTCCCATGGAAACAACTCAAGCTATCCCTTTGAAAGTTCTTCTGCTCGGAATGGTTAAAAGACAGCATTACAAATATTTTACTCCAATCAGGCATTCCCTGGAAGGAACAGATGCAAACCTTGACTCATCCTTTCTTTCTTTTCTTTATTTTTTCTTTTCTTCTTTTTTTTTTTTTTTTTTTTTTTTTTTTTTTTTTTTTTTTTTTTTTTTTTTTTTTGGTACCGAGTCTTCGAAGCCTCCATGATCTTCAGAATTTCAGATTCCATAGCCCCACTCACATCAAGCTCATGGTCTACTCCTAAGGAATGGGAGTTATCTCAGGAGTCCATCACTTAGGTGAGTCCCTGTCCTAACAGAAACTTCCACCCGTACAGGATTTTATCCTCAGGGAGCACTTTTGCACTGCTGTGTGATTTTATTCTTCCTAAACTGAGAAGTCCACATAACCACTACCGTTTTACTCAGAAGGAGGTGTGGAGGACTTAGATTACTCCCCCAAACTTTCTGGCTGGATTCTATCACAGGTCAATCTCGTGCACCAGACTGCTCCTCCCTCCACCCTTAGGGAGGCGGGCAGCTACCTCTGGGGGAGCCCTGCAGGCTCACCTCCCTCACCTTGTAGGCTTGAGCTGGGGGCACCAGCAAGCAACCGGCAACAGCCACCAGAGATAGGAGCTTCATGCTCATCAGGCTTGCTGGGCTAGCAGTACCAGACACCTGAAAAAAAAAAAAAAAAAAAAGAGTCATGGAGCTCGAGGAGAAAGTAGCCTGAATCGCCTGGCCAGAGCGTGGAAATGAGGCTGGGCTTCAAGATACCAGGGCCTCTTAAACCCGGTCGCCAAGCGCGTCTTTCCCTCGCCCCCAAGTCTCCTGCTCTTCACTGGCCACTTGGTGCACCCCGCAGAGCGGGCCTCCCGGGGATACGGCCGCCGGGAGACTCAGATGTTCCCGCAAGGCCCGGCTCTGACCCTCGCCGCGCTTTCCACAGTCCTCCGCCATCTCCGCCTCCGCAGCCTGGCAGCTCCTCCCCGCTCCAGCCCAACAGAAACTCCAAGTGCAGGGTATGGGGTCCCTAATCTGACAGCAAAGACCTCCGCCACCCTCTCCCAGGGACTTGGGGCCGGGCCGGTACCCCCAACGTCCCTTCAGCGCCCCCCAGCACCCCTCCCTCAAAGCCTCGTCCGCAAACCTTCAATCGCCGCCGCAGCTGCACCAGACAGATCTGACCCCGCCCCTCCCAGCTTCTATTGGCTAGCCAAGAAGCCTCTCAGACTGACCTCGCTATTGCCAAGGCAACAAGACCCACCTTCGCCTCGATTTGGAGACTCCCGTTTAAGGGAACAGCAGGTATTTCTCAAACCCGACCAAGCAAGAAAATGGAGCGGCAGCCCTGCAAATTTGGGGTGACTCGTTAGAACCCCTTGTGTAGTGCTTCACCCTTCCTGTGTTATAACATTCACCTGTACCATCTTGCTGTCTTTTTTAAAAAATTAAACACACGGGCTAGCTGCCACAAAAGCTACTCCTTTTTTTTTTTTTTTTTTTTGGTACTGGGGATCAAACTCGGGTCCTTGCGCTTGCAAGGCAGGCCACCAAACCGCTGAGCTAAATCCCCAGCCCCAAAGCTGCTCCTTCTTTAAAAGCATGAAAAAACATTTAAATATGAAATACCTAAAGACTTTCGAAAAAGACGTGAACAACCACTTCATTCTCTAGGAGAAAAAAATATCCCTCCTTTTGTCCAAAACTGTGTATTTACATGTATAAAACTGTGTATTTATATAGAAACTGTGATGGCTTATTCACATATGAAATCGACCTTGATTTCTTTACGCTTCTGTATTACAACAAAGGTTTAAATACAAAAGTGGACCTTTGTTTTCACCCAGTAAATCTAGGTCAAGATGAGTCTGAAACTTAGAGACAGATGTAATATATATATATTTTTTTGGTACTAGGGTTCAAGCAGCACCTTGTGCTTACCATGCTTGCGTGGTGCCACTGAGCTACATCCCCGGCCCCAGATGTAATTTTTTAACATCTCTTTCATTTCAAAGTAGAATGAACGTCTGGAAGTTACCCTGCAGTCGCAATCGCACTTATCACAGTAGTAGCTGAAACTGGAAGCTGTTTTAAAGAAACCCTGACGTCCTTTGTAGTTGCTATTTATTTATTCTTCATGTTTAGAACAAAAGCAAAAGAATCCTAACTCCTATGACTGAAGCACCTTCAAACTTTTTTTTTGGCTGTGTTCAGAGAAAGCTGTGTCTGTAGACGCAGGGTCAGGGAGATGTTATGCTGCTGTCTCTGAAGAGGGAAGAAGGGAGCCTAAGGAAAGGAATGTGGGTACCACAAGAGGCTGGTAAAGGCAAGGAAATGGATTCCTTCTTAGAACTTCTCGAAGCCCTGCAGACACCTTATTTTAGTTTCCCTTGTGTCAGACTTATGACCCACAGAGCTATAAGGTAAATATATCTGTACTATTCTAAGCCAGGAAGTTTATGAAAATTTGTTACAGCGGCGACAGAAAATGAACACATCTAGGAAGGGTAGTTGAGATTTGGGACAGAATTCAGGAGCCGGAGGGCATTCTGCGAGGAGAGGTTGTAGGAAGCGCAGAGACAGGGCTCTGTGGAGACGCAGGGAGATTTGTGGAGGCAAAGAGCATGACTCTGCTTGGCTTGAACCCAGGGCAAGTGACGGAGGAGGAAGCAGGAAAATGAGCTCATGACACCAGAGTGGGGATGTGAACCAGGGAGTGAGCTCGAGACCTGGCTTACAGCTCCCCGCCAGCATGAGGACCAGGAGACCCTGGGAATGAACGTGCTTTCCCAAGCAGAAGAGGCCAAGCAAAGCTCTGGGAACATCTGCTCTTTCCTCCAAGGACTGTTTGTCTTTATCCAGGACCCCTGCTCCCACTCCCAAGTTTGAAGTTTAGGAGAGGACCAGACCATTTCTTCAGTTCTGCTCTCCTGCATCTGCTTTCGCTTCAACAATCCTAATGTCACCTGGGCCTGGTGAGGCCAGATCTTGGCATGAACACCAGAGCTGAGGGACTAAATTCCTCTCACTCTTTATCCCTCCTCGTGGTGTTCCTGGTGGGACAGATGCTGTCATTGTCCCCAGTATGTGCCCACTCTCCCTGGCATCGACTGTATGTTTCTGCTCTTCCTCTACTCTCCACTAAAGCCCATCAGCTCAGTGTCCCATAGCCTCATGCTCCTTTGAGATGATGACCTTCTGCATTTTTACACTGGATGCTATGCCTTATCTTAAAAAAAAAAAGTCACTCAACCTAAAGAGACACACAGCCCAAGTGGCAGAATGCACTTGTAGGATACTTCAGGGGGCGATAACATGGGGTAAGGAGAAGCTTTTGATGTGTTTGTTACAGCAAGTGGAAACTGCCCACAGGGGCAGGTCAGGTGTCTAGGATGGGTACATTGCTCTCTCTGACCAAAGCAGGATTCCTCAGGCATCAGGAAAATGGGGGTGCTGAGCTGAAGGAAGTGGGGGCCTTCTGTGCAGCACCCTGTCCCAGCTTGGCACTGGCCTGGACAGCCCCACTCTTTTTACCCAGGTCTCCCCAACTTGCCTCCCCTCTTGCCCACTGCATTCTCAGTACCAATAGGCTAAAGCTCCACTTAACAGAAGAACACTTGCACTTTAACTGGACAAAGCTTGGAATCAAAGTGGTATTTTACCCAAAGTTTAGTAAATGATGTACACTCTTCCTAGAGTACTACGCGAGCACGTGCACACACACACACACACACACACACACACACACACACACACACACACCAGTGAAGTTAAACACAGGAGCCACGTTCTGTCAGGCACGCCTCCAGCACTCATTCACTAGGTGCCATGGTGTGCTGGCGTGTTCCTCTCCTATATTCCTCGGTTCAGATCCCACTTCTGCACATGTGCTTCTGGGTGTAGAGTTCATGGCACTGCACAAGTATAGGATAACAGCTCACTTTATTGTTCAATTTCCTTAGCCATATGAAATATCTTGGTTTTTTTTGTTGTTGTTGCTTAACTTTCAGCTCATGGTACTGAGTAGAAGACAGGGTGAGGCTCTGCTTAGTCCTTAGAACCAAAATTTACAAGGTTCAGATTCCAGTTTAAACTGACTCCTGGGAGAGAACCAACCTATGGACCCTCAGATTTCACCTGAAGAAATTTGCTTAGAGTAGCAGGTTTTAACCTTTCTGGTCTTACTTCCTTTTTACACTCTTGAAAATTATTTAGGACCCCAGAAAGCTTTTGTTTCAGTGGGTTCTAACTATATTTATAGTGTTAATATTAGAACAGAAAATTTAAAAATATTTATTTTAATATAATAATAAATCAATTACATGCATAGACATCTTTTGATGAAAAAAACATGTTTTCTAAAAGCAAAACTGAGAGACAAGAATGGCATTGGTTTACTTTTTTAAAAAAAAATAAATCCCCTTAATGTGTGGTTGACTATAAGACAGCTGGACTCTCACATCTGCATCTGAGTTTCATCAGCTGCGATGCCACCTGTCATCTAACCTTTGAAAAACTCCACTGACACTTAAAGGAGGATGACAGTGAAAAAAGCCAAAACATGTCAGTGTTGGTGGGCAAATAGCTTAGCCTTGTGATTCCCTAAAAGAGTCTCCACAAAGACTCTTTGCAGTGGTAGAGTTTAAAGACCCTGAGCTTTCTGCGTACTCTGCGACTTGATGGTCTTTCTGAGAGTAGCCCACGGTGGTATTTTTCATAATGTAGGTCAGGAAATACATGCCCAGGTATACTATCACAGGATGTCACTCTAGATAGAACACACCCTTTTCTCAGGGAAGTGTGGGATGCTTCAGGATAGTAATACAGATTCTGGCCTTTTTTTTTTTCTTCTTCAGCATTGAGGATTGAACCTAAGGCCTTTGTGCTTAAACACAAATCCACAGTGAAGTACGAAAACTCCCGAGTAAAGCCACATGAATTTTAAGGAATGTACAACTGGAACCTGGAGTTGGGCACTGGCGTTCAGCAGCTCCCCTGTGAAGCCTGAATGCAGCTTGGAGCAGGCCCAGCCTTCCCCTCTGGGTTTCAGTTTCCCTAACCAGCAGGCGAAGGCCCTGAATTAGAGTGGTATTTCACAAAATGTGGTATGTGCCTGGGAGATGATTCATGGAGCAATCATGGAGCGTGTGGAGGAGCATTTCTGACTGCAATAGATACTCATTTGTGTTTATTGTGCATTCTAATTACCACACAATAAAGCACATAAATCTTAATTGAACAGTTCAAAGAATTTCCACCTACGTATACATTTGTGTAAGTGCACATGTAAACCATTTTCAGTTCCCTAGAAAACTCTTCATGCCTTAACCCAGTCGGTATATATCCCGCTCTCCCGAGGTAACCAATATTCTGGTTACACAGACTGCTTTTAGCTGTTTTTGGACATCGCATAATTACATCAGATATGACCTATTCTTCATTTGTGCTTGGGTTTTTGTTCCCCCTCCTCATTATGTCTGGGAAAATGATCCATGTTGTTGTATGCAGCATAGGTCATTATTTGCATTGCCAAATTGCCGGGTTCAGGCCAACAAACCCTGTTGAGAGGCGAATGAAGACGGGAAAGACAGAGAATACCTTTGTTGGGGGTCCAGGGGTCTTCTGTAAGACCTGAATTAGAAGCCCATGCTAAATGACAAAGGGCCTAGGAGACAGTGCTCTAACCCCCTCCCATTGTACCATAGCCCCGACTTTTGTTCAAACCCTGGCTTAGAAACGGAAGGCAATCTTGTATTGTTTGAAGTCTGGATCATGATTAATGTGTAAGTTAGTGGTTCTAGACTATGAGATAAAATCTGTACCATACACAGAGACCACAAGTTAATTGTCGAACTGTTTGCTCATCCTGAATGTCTTGGTGGCCTTGAAACATCCTATAGGTATCTGTTAATCATCAATGTGTGACTGCCAAGTACGTGACTGTTGACCACCAGCTGGAATCGGCAGACCTTTGTCCCCTGCCTGCAAGCTTAGAATGTGAACCCGCCACTTTACCCCCCTTTGAAAAGGACCTCAGCCCCTGAGCTGGCGCCTCTCTGAGCCAGCTACTTGGTTCCGAGAGTGCCGTCTGGCTGGACTAATAAAGGTCTGTTTACCATCTAGCCTGGTGTGTTCCTTCCT